TTTTCGACCAGCGCGTTGACTGCAGCCATCCCCCCCAGCGCGAGACGGGGCGACGGTCGGTTGGCAGTAATTCGGGCAGAGCCTCGACACCTGACCAAAGCCCAAAAGGGCTGCAGAGGCGGAGGTGGAGGAGGAGCGGGGGCGCAGGCGCGGGGAAGATGGGTGGGAGGAGAAGGGGTGGGATGAAGGGGGAAGGGAGGAGGGGGGGGGGGGAGGGAGGGAGGATGGAGGAGGGTCAGGAGCTGCATGGAGGGAGGCGGGTCAGGGAGAAGGGAGGAGGGTCAGGGACGGGAGGGGGGGCGCCGCAGACCCGTTTGAGACACTGTCCCGAAAGGCTCCTCCTCCTTCTCCTCCTCTTTCCTCCTCCCCCTCCTATGGTTCGGTCCCCGGGGCGAACCTCCCAGGGGCCAGGCGGCCCCTGGGGGCGCGGAAAAAAAAACTGCCCGCCTCCGCCTCGCCCCCCCTTCTCCTTCTCCTCCTCCTCCTCCTTCCTTCACCACTCGCTTAGGCCCCCTCCCCACAAGGAAAGCCGCGCGCTGTTGAAGGACCAGAAACTTGCTAGAGCTGGTCGGGCTGCTCCGGCCTAACTCGGAGTCTCCTTAAGTCCCCCTCCCCTCGTCGCCACGGCTGGTTCGCTTCGAACACTGAGCCCTCGGGAACCTCGCCGAGGCGCATCTGGGTGCACGCCCCCCTGCCCCATGGTCGCCGCGGCTGATTCGTTTCGAAATCTGATCCCCCGTATCTCGCCGATGCGCCCCTGGGCCCTGCCCCTGGGTCAGATCTCGGACGGGGCGGGGGGGCCGCGAGCCGTTTCTTGCCCGCGAGCCGCCGAGCACTGTAGCTCGCAGATCGCGCCAGAGAAGCGCTGGGCCCCTCTTTGGAGACGAAACACCCTTCCCATTATGTGTCTACACAAGGCGCGGGGCAACCGTCTCGCCACTGCTGTCGCCATCGTCTCGCCACACCACTGCTGTTGCCATCGCCGCTGATGCCGTCATCGTCTCGTCACACCGCCGCTCCCGCTACGGCCGGCCCCGCAGCCCCGCGCGCGGCAGGCAATCAGCAGGATCTCGTTCGCCACCAGGATGGCCAGGGGGCGTTCGCACCTGCGCGGGGCGCGGGGGGAGCGGCCAAGAGCAGGGCAAGTGGATTCAAGGGGGGAGGAGGGTTAGGGAGAGACGACGAGGGAGGAGGGAGGAGGGAGGAGGGAGGGAGGCGGGCCAGGAGCTGCATGGAGGGAGGAGGGCCAGGGAGGAGGGGGGGAGGAGGGTCAGGGGCGGAAGGAGGGGAGGGGCAGGCCTCTTCCTCTTCCTCCTCTCCTCCGCTTACTTACTCCCCTCATCCCTCCTCTCCTCTCCTCTCCGCTTTCCTCCTTCCTCCTCTTTTTTTTATCTCCTCTTGTCTCCATTTTCCTCTTTTCTCTTTTTTTTTTCCCCCCTCTTCTCTTTCCCCCCCCGCCTCACCCCCCCTCCACTCTCCCCTCTCTCCCCCATTTCCCCCCCCCTCCCACGTAGACCCTCCATCCCCCTCCGATGGTTCGGTTCGTCGGGGTCGGTCGGCGGTTCGTCGGGGTTCGCGGTTTCGGCGGTTCGCGGTTCGGTCGCGGTTCGGGGGGGGGCGGGTTCGGCCGGCCCCCTTTTCGGGTTTCGCGGTCGGGGGCGGTTTTTCAGGAAAAGGCGGTTCGCCGGTCGTCGTTCTTTTTCGGTTTCCGGCGTTTTTTTTTTCGTTTCGTTTTTTTGCGCGTTTCGGCCGACGGCCGCCTGGGGGGGCAAAAAAAACCTCCCAGGGGCCGGAGCGAGAGGCGGGGGAGCCGGCCCCCCCCTGGGAGCAGGGAAACCAAAAACTACATTGTTTATATGAAAAAATCCTCATCCTCCTCCTCCTTCCCCTCCTCTCCCTCCTCCTCCCCCTCCTCCTCTTCGTCCTCCCTCGGAGGGCGGGGCCCTCCATCCCAGGCCCCCCCCCCTGTCCATCCAAAACTACCGCCCCATCTCCCCCTCCCCCCCTTCCCCCGTCCTTCCCTTCCCCCATCCGTCACCCCATACCCCTTCCTAATTCCCTCCCTATCTCCTCCACATCCCTTTCCCCCCCCCCCCCACCCCCCCCCCTCCCTCATTTCTTCAAACGTCGGACTGGCGCTTCCCAGTCGCCCCTGGCGCTCGAGCGAGCGCCCCCGTCTAGGTGCAGCGCGCGAATGTCGCCCCCGTGACCTTGAAGTGCTTGCTCTTGGCCTTGCCTTTGACGCACTTGCTCTCGGCCTTCCCCTTGATCTTCTCCGTGCTGCCCTTGCCCTTGAAGTCCTTGCCCTTGCAGGTTTTGCCCTTGAAGGCCTTGCCCTTGCTCGCGCCCTTGCCCTTGAAGGCTTTGCTCTTGTCCTTGGAGCTCTGGCCCATGCCATTGTCCTTGCTCTTGCCCTTGAAGGCCTTGGTCTTGTCCTCGATCTTCGCGCTGCTCACGGGCGTGGTGGCGGCGACCTTGGCGGGCGGGGTGGTCGGGAGACCCGAGGTCGTCTCGCTGCGGCGCAGGCGGCGCCGCTGCGGCGGCGTGAGCTCGGCCTGGGGCGTCGGCGGCGGCGTTCCTGTCGGCGTGCCGCACGGCGTCGTCGGCGGCGGCCCTGGCGGCGTGCCAGCCAAGAGCAACCAGGGCGTTCGCGGCGAGAACGGCCTGGCGCCGAGCGGCGTCCGCGGGCTGAACGGCCTGGCGCCAGGCGGCGTTCGCGGCGAGAACGCCGTCAGGATGCCGAGCGGCGTCCGCGGGCTGAACGGCCTGGCGCCGAGCGGCGTCCGCGGCGAGAGCGCAGGCGTCCGCGGCGAAGGGCTGCCTGTAGTCGGCGGAATCGGCCTGGCCGTGCCTCCAGGGGGACCATTCAGAGACTGCGGCGTGTTGGGGCACCACTCCCTGGGAGAGAGGGCTTGGCTCGGCGCTGAGTGGTTCAGGCCACGATAACTAAAAAATGGCGACGACGACGGCGACGGCGAACGACGACGACGACGACGGCGGCGACGACGAACGGCGACGACGACGGCCACGACGTCTACGACGTCGACTTTGGCCGTTCGAAGCGATTGTGGCCTGAACCATTCAGCGCCGATTCAGGCCCTCCCGAGCCTCTGGCCAAGCGACGCGGGCGACGCGGGCGACGCGGGCGCCGCCTTCGCGACGGTGGGCGATGCGGGCGCCGCCATCGCTGGAGACGAGGGGGCGACGTTGGGCGAGCCTCACGTATGAGAGGGCGGGCGAGCCTCACCTCGATGCCTGGTCAGACGAGCCAAAACGACGGCGGTGGAGGAGAACGAGGAGGAGCAGGAGGCGCGACGACGAGCTGTATAAAGGGAAGAGGGTCAGGGAGGAGTGCGGAGGGTCAGGGACGGCAGGAGGGTGGCGCGACGACGGCCAAGGCGACGGCGACGGCAGCGGCAGCGGCGACGTCCACAGGCGACGGCCAAGGCGACGGCGGCCGCGACGAGGACGGACGAGGGACGAGGGAGGAGGGAGGAAGGAGGGAGGAGGGTCTGGAGTGGCATGGAGGGAGAAGGGTCAGGGAGAGACGAGGAGGAACGAGTGGGTAGGGTGGGGGGAGGGAGGAAGGAGGAGGGTCAGGATCTGCATGGGGGGAGGAAGGCCAGGGAGGAGGGGGGAGGGTCAGGGGCGGGGGGAGGGGCGGAGCAGGCCTCTTCCTCGTCTTCCTCCTCCTCCTCCTCTTTCCTCCTCCCCCTCCTATGGTTTGGTCCCCAGGCCCCATGGCGAACCTCCCAGGGGCCAACCTGCCCCTGGGAGCTTACGAAAAAAATGTTGATGGTAGAGAGGCATCTGCCTCCCTACCGCCCCTCCTCCCCCCCCCCCTCATCCTCCGCCCCCGCCCTCCATCATCTGGGCGGCGCGCGCCTTCATCGCCATGGTCCCTGCTGTCGCCGCAGTTGTTGCCAATCTGCTTGCGCAGCCTGGCCTGCGGGCGCGAGGGGGGGGAGGGGGGGGGGGGCGCGGGGGTTGGCAAGGGTGGCGCGACGACGGCGACGGAGACGGCGGCGGCAGCATCGGAGGCGACGGCCAAGGCGACGGCGGCAGCGACAACGTCGGCGACGACCGACGGCGGCCGCGACGGCGACGGCGGCGGCGATGACGACGGCGGCGGCGTCGGCGATGACCGACGACCGACGATCGACGACCGCCGACTGACGGTTGACGACGACGACCGACGACCGACGACCGACGACCGACGACCGACGGCCGACGGCCGACGATCGACGATCGACGACGACCGACGACTGACGACCGACGACCGACGACCTACGACCGACGACCGACGACGACGACGATACCCCCCACACGCACTTGGAGGTACCACCCGAGGTACCACCAGGTACCACCCTCCTCATCTTCCTTCTCTTCCTCCTTCTCCTCCTCATCCTCACTCTCCTCCTCCTCCTCCTCGCCCTCGCCCCCTCCCCCCTCCCTCCTCCTCTATCTTCGACTCGCCCACGCCTCTGTCATCCGGAGGCAAATGAGCGCGCACCTCCGCGCGGAGGTGTCCCGAGGGGCGAGTGATTCGGGCACCTGAAGAGGAAGAGGAAAGATGAGGAGGAGGAGGAGGAGGAGATCCGCGTCACGGAGCGTTGCAGAATTTAGCCCGCGGGGGGGGGGTCAGACGCTAAAACGAAGCCGATTTAGGCCCTGACCCCCCCTGGGGAGCTAAAAACGGCCCTCCTCCTTCCCCGGACAAGGAGGAGTAAGATAAGGAGCATCGGGAGGACTATGGTTGTGGAGGAGAACGAGGAATGTGGAAGAGGATGGGAGGGGGACGCACCCCCTACTGCCTCAGGCTCTCACAGCTTGGGCTTCGCCTGGGCCTTCGCCTTGCCCTTCCCGCGGCCCTTGCCCCTGCCTTTCCCGCGGCCCCTGGTCTTCGGCGCAGCGGCGCGCCTCGCGCCGCTATCGCCCTTGCCCTTGCTCGTCGCGCCCTTGCCCTTGTCCGCGTTCTTGTCCTTGCCCTGGCTCGCGGCCGCGGCGCCCGCGATGCACTTCGTCCCGAGCGGAACCCTGCGCTTCGAAGGGCTCGCTTCGGCCCCACTTAGGGCGCGCTTCAAAGGGCTGCCCTGGCCAAGATCTGCTGGCTCCGTCTCGTCCTCCGCCGCGGCCTCCTCTTCGCCGTTCTCCAGCTCGATGAACCAAGCCGCCCTCTGATGCTCGGGCGCCTCCTCCAGCAGACCTGCGGCGGCCCTCCTCTCCCTCATCCCTCCTCCTTATCCTCCTCCTCCTTCTCCTCCTCGTCCTCCTCCATCTTCCTTATTCCCGTGCATTTCCAACTCCTGCTCCTCCTCCTCCACCCCTTCTCCTTTGTCGTCCTCGTCGTCGTCGCGAACTTGAAATCTTGTCGTAGTACATGGTAGCCGCCGTGTGCGCCTTCTTCATATCGTCGATGATCTGCGCGAGTTGGCCCTTATCGTCGATGCGGTTCCTCGCGAGCACGTCCCTGCCGCTCTCGCAGGCGGCCTCCAAGCCCTTAATCAGGTCGTCTGCTTTACCCTGCAAGGCCTCAGGCACATACTGCTTCGCCGACTCGTCTGAAAGCACCATCTGGGCGCGAGTCACTTGCGTCGCGCTCTCGAGCACGCTGTCCCGCAACAGGTTGGCCCTGTTGACGAGCCCTTGCGGCAACGGCCTGGCGGGCTTGTCCTTCTTCTCCTGCTTCGCCTTGTTGGCCAGCGCCTTTCCCTTCGGCGCGATCCTCTCGCCGCCGATGGTGCGCGACTGCTCCCGTGTTTTTTCTCCGCGGACTTATCGTGGCTGAAAGCGTATTCCGGCACGACGATCATCAGCGCCCCAGTCAGCTCGCACTCGAATTGCGGCGCCCGCTTCTTCAAGGTCTCGAAGCTCGCTGGATCTGTCTTGAAACGGGGCAACTCCGCGGCCTCCAACAAAGTCATGTACTTGCCCTCCTGGTGGAAGGTCTGCTTGTCGCTATCCGTCTTCGTCTGCCTGCACTGCTCGATCATATTCTTCTTCAGGTCCTCGCCGTAGAGGTACTTGGCCTCCGCGAGGAAGGCCTTCTTGTCCTCCACCTTATCCCACGTCTGGAAGTCGGACGGGTTCCCCACCTTCATGGAATTCACCCTTTTGCGCGCGTTGTTGCAGGGCTTGCAGCGGCAGATGGCCTTGCGCGTATCTGTGCCCTCCTTCACCGTGATGTAGTCCTCCTCGTCCACAGCGCTGAGGTCGTCGCCGCAGGTGTCGCAGATGACCAGCTGCTCCGCCGTGGCCGTCTCCGCGGCCGTGTCTCCTGGAAGCGGTGATCCACCTGGCGGCGACGGCGCGCCGTTCGCGCTCGCCGCGGGCGAGCAAGACATCCAGGAGAAATCCAGGGCAGAGCCACTGGAAGCAAGAGGGCAGAGCCGCTGAAACCGCAAGGCCTAAATTGCTCCGGAACGCGGAGGTCGGGAGGTCGGAGTCGGGGGATGGAAAAGGGCGGAAGCGGAGGCGGAGAAAGGGTGGAGTCGGAGAGTGGAGGGGGGGGAGGGTCAGGGGCTGCATGGAGGGAGGAGGGTCAGTGAGGAGGGGGGAGGGCCAGGGAGAGAGGAGGGGGGGGCAAGGGAGGAGGGAGGAGGGAGGGGGGAGGGATGAGGGTCAGGAGCTGCATGGAGGGAGGAGGGTCAGGGAGGAGGGAGGAGGGTCAGGGACGAAAGGAGGGGGGGGGGGGGGGGCGAGGATGAGATGTTGCGAGAGGGCAGGCAGCGGCGGCGAGCGGCGCGCCTTCCCGCCCGCCTGGCAGTGAGCTCCATGTTGTTCGTCTGCAAGGGGAACCCGTCCTGCGAGGGCGGAGGGCGGCGCGCAATCGCCTCCCTGACGCTGCCGCCCCCCCTCCCCTTGCTGCTGCATTCCTCCTTGAAAACACATGAAGATAATGTTGCTGTTTTCTCGCGCCGCCCCATTTCGGCCACATTTTTTTCGTGCGGGGTTGCCATGTTTTGCGTTGTCCGTGGGGGGGTTTTCCGTTGGGGGGGGGGGGGCCCTGGATGCCGATCGTTCGGTGATTCGGAGCCCTCTTGGGCCTCCTTGGGAGTCTCTTGGGGCACTCATGGCCCGTCTTGGTGCTAGACGTGCCCCACCGCTGTTCATCGGACCTCAAGACGACCCCAAGGAGGAGGAGGGAGGAGGAGGAGGAGGAGGAAGAGTGAGGAACCTCCTGCTTTTCCCCCTCCTCTTCCTCCTCCTCCCCCCCCCTCTCCCCCCTCTCCCTCTCCTCGCTCCTCCCCCGCCCCGCAATGGCAGTCGGCGGGCGGTCCTGAAGCCCATGTCGCGTCGGAGCCCACCACCTCGTGCGCATGCTGCTCGCACTGCTTGTGCTCGGCCCAGTTGCGCCAATCTGACGCCCCCACCTGCGCAGCCATCTTCGATGGCATCTGGCACTCCTCGGCCGAGCTGTCCAAGGGCGACGCCTCCACCTGCACGTACGCCCGCGGTGGCACCCCGCACTCCTCGGCCCAGCTATCCCAGGGCGGCACGTCCACCTGCACCTGTGTCTGCGGTGATTTCTGCCGCTTGAGCGACGCCTGGCACGCCCTGTCCGCCACCCGCTGCACGTGCTGGTCCAAGGGCGCCTTCCTGCCACCAGCTCGGCCGCTGGCTTCGATGACCTCGAGCGCCGCCAACCTCGCCGACGCCGGGTTCCCCGATCGGCCGACGCACTGCAAGTCCCTGCCGCCGCCGCGCCCACGATCACGCACGGTGACCTTCACCTCGTGGTCCGCCAAGATCTTCGCCGCCTGCGCGCTCGTTAGCGCGCCGCATGGAAGAGGCCCCTTCGTCACAGCGACGGGACCAAGGGATTCTGGCCCAAAATCAAACTCCCGCCGTGTGTTGTGGTTTTTTTTATTTTTGGTTTTTATTGTTTTTGTATTTTTTTTTTTTTTTTTACTTTTTTTTTGTTTTTTTTTTTTGTTTTTTTATTTTTTTTTTTTTTCTTTTTTTTTATTTTTGTCTTCTTTTTGTGTTAGTTTTTTTTTTTATATTTATTTCTTTTTTTATTCTTCTTCATTGATTTTTTTATTTTTATTTTTTTTTTTTATTTTTCGTTTTTTTTTTTTTTTTTTTGAGGATGCATTTGAACAAAAAATTGCTGCAGCTTCTCTAATTATGTTGTTGTTTGCCGGACCCCCCTCCTCTCCCCTCTTTTCTTTTTATTGTTGCCGCCCTCCTCATTCTCTTTCCTCCGCCCCCTCCTACGGTTCGGCCCCCAGGACGAACCTCCCAGGGGCCAAGCGGCCACTGGGAGCAAAAAAAACAAAAAATCATAAAAAAATGCCCCTCCTCCTTCTCCTCCTCCCCCCCCTCCTCCTCTTCGCCCTCCCTTCGCCCATCCTCCGTTCGCCCCCCCGCGTCCACTCTCCCCGAACCGCCCCGCCGCCACGCGCAGCCTGCCCCGCAGGACTGCGGAAGCCGAGCTGGGCGTCAAGGCCGACCTACTCTGGGGTTCCATCGTCGCCTCGGCTGGATTCGCTTCGAAATTCCAGAGAATCAGAACGCGCCCTGCGATTCCGGTGGGGTCCTACTTGGGGGGAGGCCGATCTATTTTCTCGGATTCCGTCGTCGCCTCGGCTGAATTCGCCTCGGAATTCAAAAAATCAGAACGCGCCCATCGAGGCCCCGCGAGGCTCGCCTGCGGAGGGAGGAGGAGCGACTGAGGAGGGGGAGGAGGGAGGAGGAGGGGGAGGAGGAGAAGGTATGTTTTGCATCAGCTCGGGCGGACAACCAAGCGGTATTTATCACCGACCCTGCTCTTCCAGTGAACACTTGTAATCCAAGACACCTGCACCAGCTCATGCACCGCGGTTGGCGCCAGCAGCTCGCCGTCTGCGGCAAGCACACGCAAAACAGCGAAATACGCTTGACGAATAGGGCCTTCCAACCAATGAGCGTCCACGAATGCCACCACCAGGCCGTGTTTGCGCTGCCCTGTCGGATATTGCACATGCACCAAATCTGACGGGGGCAACTTCTGCGTGCCCACTTCCATGCGCTTCGCCATGAAAACATTAGCGGGCTGCCCAAATCCCAGCTCAGTTAAAGGATGCAGCAATTCAGGTGTATGCTTGACCGCCGACGCCAATCGGTTCGCGGCGAAGGGGCCCCCCTTCGCGCGGGCATCCAAATCGATTAAAATGCGGACCAAAATCGGCAGAGACGGATTCTCCATCTTTACATAAAACACACACACAATTTCTTGACCAATATGTTCCTGCGCCCATTATTGAAACAACTGAGGTTGTGCCCGAATAATTCCAGACAGTCTGGTATATGATGTTGTAGATGGCCCTTCACCTTCACGCAGTCCAAACTCCACAGCTCTAACATCAATCTGTGGTGTTGCTCGAACAAAACTTTCAACGTATCTACGCGAGCTACGGCAGTTTCACCACTTTCCAATATATGGCAAATCCGACCAGCGAACTGCATACACTCACTCTGCCGTGGCAAGGCATTCCTCGGATCCAAAATGTATGTACAATAATCCGCTGCCCGCGCCTGCGGGCCAAGGCGCCTCCGACCTGGCAGCCCCAAGACACTACAAACTTTATACCACGGCTTGGGGGGTTCGACGGGCAGGCGGCGAGCCTACTGGTTAGGGCAAAAAGCAGACGACCGTCAACATCTCCCCAGCAAACACCTTGATGTGATGCCCTCGGGTTTTCGACATTCTTGTCGCGAAGAAACGAGTTCCGAGGGGCCTGCAGCGAGTGTTGTTCTCGGCGACGAACGACTGCAACGTTCGGTCCAGGTCGGCCACGCCGATCCCGTAGTCCACCATGTCCAGCAAGAACTCGTTCACCTGAAACTGCAAAACACCGCCAGTGGTAAGGAGCGCGCGCATCCAATCCCAGTAACAGCTCGAGACAGGAAAAAATGTTCGCGCAGTGTGTTGTCGAACACCAGCGATGACGGATCGTAGTGCAAACCGAAGCTTTGCTGTTTCTGTTTGAACTCCCCTTTGTTCAACGTGCCTTTCAAAGATGTCAATCGGTCAACCACTGCCCAATAAGATTCGTCCGTGTGGCGGTCGAATTCGTTTGGCATCGCCGTCTTGTAATGGCGAAGATACCCGTCCGATTGAATCCTTTCGACGCCGCAAGAAATTATGTTCTTGCAACATTGACAGCAAGCCAGCCCGCCAGCTCCGAAGGCGCCCTGGCGAGGAAGGGGGAGGAAGAGTAGGACGAGGGAGAGGAGGAGGAGGAGGAGGAGGAGGAGGAGGAGGAGGAGGAGGAGGAGGAGGAGGAGGAGGAAAAGGGCCTTGGCTTCCTTGTGCGCTTTCTCGTCTTGGATCAAGCACGCCAAGCGGCCCCTCACGTGGAAAGGCGCGACGCCACCAGTGCAGAACCGTATGCCCGTGCAGAAGTTTGACATATCAGTGAAACACATGTGGAAGATCCAACTACCCAAAGTGCGGGTCGAGAAGCGGACAGGCTTGTTTTTGTACTCGTTGTAAATCGTTTTTAAATTAGTTCCCCATATCCTAAGATGGGGTTATTGTTATTACTTGGACACCTCATACTCCCTCTCCTTCTCCCTCCTCCTCGTTCCTCCTCCCCGCCGGTCGGACTTACTCATACTCAGGCTTGCTCATACTCAGACTTACTCCTACACAGGCTTACTCATACTCAGACTGACTCATACTCAGGCCTATTCATACTCAGACTTACTCACACTCAGACATACTCATACACAGACTTACTCATACACAGACTTACTCACACCCAGACGTGCTCATACAAAGACTCACTCATACCCAGACTTGCTCATACACAGTATTAGTCATACTCAGACTTACTCATACCCAGACGTACACATACACAGACTTTCTCATACACAGACCTACGCATACCCAGATTTACTCAGACACAGACTTACTCATACTCAGGCATACTCATTCTCAGCACCCCTAAGGGGAGCCGCCAGGGGTGGTTGCACGGGCTCGTTCGCGGCCATTTTGTGGGGATGTCTCAGGCGGTTTGCTTGTTTCTGGGTCAACTATCCTTTCTGTTTGGGGCGCAGATTGTGAGGGATTCTCAGGCGGGGCGCTGGTTTTTTTTTCCCAACACCCTAGGGAGCCGCCAGGGGTGGTTGCGCTGGCTTCGTTCGCGGCCATTGTGTGGTGATGTCTCAGGCGGTTTGCTTTTTGCTAGATCTCTGGGCTCAAACATCTTCGCTTGAGAGAGCAGATTGTGAGGATGTTCTCAGGCGGTTGGCATAGCGTGGTTTCAGCACCCCTAAGGGGAGCCGCCAGGGGTGTTTGCACGGGCTCGTTCGCGGCCATTTTGTGGGGGTGTCTCAGGCGGTTTGCTTGTTTCTGGGCCCAACATCCTTCGCTTGGAGAGCAGATTGTGAGGATGTCTCAGGCGGGGCGCTGGTTTCAGCACCCCTAAGGGGAGCCGCCAGGGGTGGTTGCACGGGCTCGTTCGCGGCCATTTTGTGGTGATGTCTCAGGCGGTTTGTTTGTTTCTGGGCTCAACATCCTTCGCTTGGAGAGCAGATTGTGAGGATGTCTCAGGCGGGGCGCTGGTTTCAGCACCCCTAAGGGGAGCCGCCAGGGGTGGTTGCACGGGCTCGTTCGCGGCCATTTTGTGGGGATGTCTCAGGCGGTTTGCTTGTTCCTGGGCTCAACATCCTTCGCTTGGGGAGCAGATTGTGACGATGTCTCAAGCGGGGCGCTGGTTGCAGCACCCCTATGGGGAGCCGCCAGGGGTGGTTGCACGGGCACGTTCGCGGCCATATTGTGGGGATGTCTCAGGCGGTTCGCCTGTTTCTGGGCTCAACAGGGAGGGAAATGACAGGAACGAGGATGAGGAGGAGGAACAGGAGGAGGAGGAGGAGGCGGGGGATCGTGAGGAAGGGCATGGGGGTGCGGAGGGGGAGGGGGAGCAGGAGGATGAGGAGGAGGAGCAGGAGCAGGAGAAGGGAGGGGGCGGAGGAACAGGAGGAGGAGGAGGAGGAGGGCGCTTTGCTCGAAGGTCCTTGACGCGAGCAGAACGTTCGTTCCGAAGTCCAGGACATATATATATATATATATATATATATATATACACACACCTATATATGTATTCATAGGGGGTGACTGCGAGGGGGGGGGCTGTGGTTGTGTGCGGGGATCGTTGGAAATGCTCACCGTGGCATTATCCTCCAACATGACATGCACGTATGGTTTTGTGTGGCTAAACGCTCGTCGTACATACCCCACTGCCAACTATCCTACAACATATGCACATGTGGGAAGCTCCAAAGCTACCACGGGCTGAAAAGGGGAAGGCCTGGCAGCTGAGGAGGGGGGATGAAGAGGAAGAGGCTCGCATTCAACCACACTCAAAGCTCACTCTGACCCATGCGCAATCACTCGCATTCGGGGTCCTTTGTCTTCGTCGGCCCTGTCGCCCACGTGGACGCGCCATTGTAGTCGACCGCTCATGAACAGACGCTCACCACGACATGACATAAAACATGAGATGCACATATGGGGAGCTCCACGCAGTGAGTATTTTAGCTGCTGTTTAACCAGGGAGAAGGGTCGGCGGTCGGAGCCAAAGGCGCGCGAACGTGCTTCAACACTCCAGAATAGCCGGACACGACATCCTTCAAAGTGTCGGCCTTAATGAACCCGATTGGGATCCACCCATGGTCCAGGACCCTGTACCAATCGGGCAGCTCGAGGAAACTCCAATATACAGCAAGAAACTTGGTCCTATTATCTGGACGTAGTGGATTGCCTCCTACTGTTTCGTCCCCCCAATACAACGCGATTCACTTGACCAGAACAATGCTCGCGAATAAACGCTTCCAGCTGCGGACACTCGGAACACAGCCATGACAACAGCGCACAAGGGTGGGCCACTGACCACTCGTAGAACGTTCCGTCTTGCAGCGGCAGCCGCAACGTCTGGACCACCCTGCCATATGAATTGCAAAGGCCAGTCACGCGCGCGTACATGTCGGCAGCGGTCCCATCGTCGACGTCGTCGTCGCCATCCGAGTCCTCGCCGTGCCCTGCAGCACACGACAGAACCCGCCGCACGACGGCCAGTGACGCGCCCAGACCAACTTCCTCCACCGCCCGCTCAAAGCGGGTCCTCTTCGTCGGCGGTCGCATGCGGCCCCGATCGAGCTTGAACTAAACAAGCCTGAGCCAAAATGGCTACAGACGAGGCCGTCGGCGGCCGTTTCGCTCGAGACCTCCTTGCAATAAAATTCCCACGCACATTTCGGCACACCCCTTCGGCACACCCCGCAGAGTTCCCTGTGGAACTCCGCGGGGATCTCATGTCGTGGCACCCCTCAAAAGATCGTGGCCCTGGCCAGATCGTGGCCCTGCAGGCCCCATCGGACGTCAACAGGACCCTATCATGCGTATAAATGAGTGTTCGCGTGTGTGACGTTTTCTGGCCGAGTTCGCACGCCATCCCAATCGTTCCATAACTTGTTTCATAACTTGTTCATAACTTTTTGTAACTTTGTAACTGTTTTGTAACTCTTGGGGGTCAAGTCGTAACTTTCTATATCTTGTTCATAACTATGTGTTAGTATGGTTGTGGTGTTCAGAAGTAGTTCATAAAGTCGTCTATAAAACCACTACAACACCATTACCATATATAAGTCGCATGAGACTTATAACAAAGGTATTCTTGGGTTGTACGACTTATAACTGAACTTGTACATGTTGTATATTGGTTTGTGCTAGTTATAACATGGGTTATATTGATGGTTATATCATGGTAGCGGCAAAAGTGCTGAAGCAGGACCTCGAGGAGATTCAGCCATGGCCGCGACGAGGGCGCCCCCGGGAGGCCCCGCAGCGCTTCCCCCAAGAAAGCTCCCCCCCCCGATCCACGACCCCTGATCCACGATCGAGCTCCCCGCCACCCGCGCTGCCGCCCCCGCCCCGCACAGGAGGGTATCACGCAGAGCCTCGAGCTGGCCCGAGGAACTTTTTAGATGCCTGCAGGGGAGCAAAGCCTGACACATACATGAAAACGCGGAGGTCCCCGCAGATTCCTCGGATCTACGCTGGAGATCCCTGGCGGCACCTCCGGCGCCGCCCCTGGCGTGCCCCGCGCGCCAGGGAGGGGGGGCCCAGCGCCGATCCGAGAGTTCTGCGCGGACCTCTGGGTCTGTATGTTGATGCCATTGTTTGTTCCCCCGGATGATTAGCACGGCTGCACGCTTTCCGTTCCAGCTCGCACCTTCCGTGCTATATTCGGTGCTCTCTGCCCGCTCCTGGCCCGCGCCGCGCCCCCCGCGGCGGGCCAGCGCGCGTCGCGCCCCCTCTTATAAGCAGTGGCGAGCCGTCCCGGCGTGCTGGCAGGCCCGCCAGAGAGTGTGCTAAGAATGTGTGCCGTGGCTCGTGCAAAATATGCGAAATATTCGAGTAGGAGGTCGACTACAGAACTGACGAACCCCACAAGCCACTGATTCGTGGAATATATGATACGAAGTGGCATGTTCCAATAAGTTCTGGATGCTGTTGTCGATCTCCTACTCGAATGTCATCAGGATATGTATGGCTGAGGCCGTGTTCGAACATTATGTTGGTCTAAGAACATGGTGTGGTAGGTCTATAGTGATGCTGGGACGGTCGGTCCCTGCTCAATCTTCCCGAGAGATCCGTCGATACGATGTTTCGATCCGCGGCACCAGAAGTCACAATACCTTGTCACTTGCAGGAAATTAGAATACACACTCTAAACATAATCCCTGCGCGGATCTCTTGGATCGGCGTTGGTGACCCCCTGGCGGCATCTCCGGCGCCGGCCTTGGTGCGTTCCGCGCAACAAGGAGGGGGCTTCAGTGCCGATCCAAGATATCCGCGCGGAGTTCCGAAGCTTTACGTTTACGCAATTGTTGATTCTATTATTTTGTGCCGTTTTTCTTCCTGAATTCGGTCCTGATGGCCCCTGGACCCAAAAGCGGCCCCAGGCCCTGGAGGCCGAAATCGATAAAGCATGCCTGGATCGAATCGGGTTCCCCCACACCCTGTGGTGACGGACCGCACGGTGGCCTCGAAATCCCAAGAGACCTCGCCGCACGGTCGTGGGACCTCGGAGGCCTTGGTCGCCCGAGACGTTTCGGAGAACGACCCGAGTCCCGAAACCGTGCAGGGTGCGTGGCTGAATAAGGAATTCGTGGTGAGATTTCTGCGTGTTGCGTCGTTGTTGTTTATGTTATTGCTGTTGGTGTAGGTGTTGTTGTTGGTGTTGTTCGTGTTGTTGATGTTGGTGGTGGTGTTGTTGCTGTGGTTGTTGCTGCTGGTGTTGATGTTGTTGTTGTGGATGTTGTGATTGTTGTTGTTGGTGTTGTTGGTGTTGGTGTTGGTGTTGTTGTTTTCGTTTGTTTGTTTGTGGTGTTGTTGTTGGTGTTGTTGGTGTTGTTGGTGTTGGTGTTGGTGTTGGTGTTGCTGTTGTTGTTGTGGTTGGTGTTGCTAGTGTTGTTGGTGTTGGTGTTGGTGTTGGTGTTGGTGTTGGTCTTGTTGATGGTGTTGTTGTTGCTGTTGTTGTTATTGATGTGGTTGTTGTTGTTGCTGCTGATGCTGCTGCTGTTGTTGTTGTTGGTGTTGTTTGTGTTATTGTTCTTGTTGTTGTTGTTGTTGTTGCTGTTGTTGTTGTTGGTGTTGTTGTTGTTGTTGTTGAACATTATTACTTTTAAAGAATAATTATTGTTGGGCCCCCTGGTGCACGCCCCCCTCGCCGCGCCTAGGCCGCAGCTACATTTTCATCATTTTCGTGAGGAAGCCTCAGGTAAAACGATGTGATCCAGATCCATTTGTTTTGTTGTAATCCGTTTTCCCTTGCAAAAAAAACACTATAAAATGACATTTCTTGTTCTAATATAATCAAATTTCAAGAATCCCTTGCAAAAAATAAGGTAAAGTGGACATTCGCGCGCGCAAGACGAAATCCTTCCAAAAGCTTAGTGTTCGGAGCGATTTCAACATAAAAACATCAAAAAACCAATGGTTTTTCAACAAAATAATGTCAAAATCTCATCCCGCGCGCTCTTGCGGATTCGTAGGAAACCCAACACTTTTTAAACATTTCTGTCAAACGGGCTTTTGCGAGCAACTTGTTCGAACTTCTGCAACAACGGTTGCGCACCTGCCAGGGCCATCATCCCTGTCAAATAATACATGCGGGACACATTCGTTTTTTCTTCGCGCGCGCACGCCGTCGTCGTCGGCCGCGGGGCCCTGAATAGTAGCCACGGTCGTCCGCATGCCACGAAGTGAAGTGTCCGAACGTCATAGGGCGGGAAGCTGGGTGTGGGTGGTGGCGAAGAGTCGTTTGGAAATTTGGTAGAGCTTAAACCGGCCCCCCCACAAAGTGGGGGTATTGCCCGCCTCCTATGAAAACCCTGGCAATGGTGAGAACGGAGTGTCCCCACGTGCTAGTAATTGTTGTTGTTGTTGTTGTTTGTTGTCGTCGTCCCACCGCGACCCAACCCGCGACCCACCCCGCGACCCACCCCGCGGCCCACCCGCGACCCACCCGCGACCCACCCGCGACCCACCCGCGATCCACCGCGACCCACCCGCGACCCACCCCGCGACCCACCCGCGACCCAGCCGCGACCACCGGACCCACAGCCGACTTCCCACCGGCGAACCAACCCGCGAGCCACCGCGACTCACCCGCGAGGGCCTCAAGGGAGGAGAAACCACCCAGACCAGACAGTTGACGTTTACCAAACGGCCCTGGGCGTTTACTAAACAGCCCTGCCCTGTTCGATGCATTCCTTATGTGCGTTCACTAAACGGCTTCGCTTGTCGGTGTGATTATTAGGGGTGGATGTTCTGCCCTCTACACCCGCGACCCACCCGCGACCCAACAGCGACCCACCCGCGACCCACCCGCGACCCCTTTGCGACCCTCCCGCGACCTACCCACAATGGCTTAACGAAGAAATTGGCGCCTGCGGCGGGCTCGTTGTATCATTTGTGAAATTTTGGCCGCTTACGGAGGGCTTTTTTTTGTTGTGGGGGGTGACGGTTTGTGGGGTGGGGTGTGTTGTGTGGGTATTGGGGGGTGGGTCGTTTGGTCCACGTATTTTGTTTAATTATTTATTTTTTTTTACTGTTTTACTTTTTTTATGTCTTTTTTTTTTATTATTTTTTTTAGTTTTTTTTTTGTTTTTTTTTTTTAGTTTTTTTTTAAGTCTTTTTATTATGTATTTTTTTTTACTTTTATTGTTTTTTTTTTTTTTTTTATTTATTTTTTTTTTTATGTTTATTTATCCTTCGTTCTTTTTTTGTTTTGTTTTTTTTTTTTTTTTTTTTTTTTTTTTTTTATATTTTCTTTTTTCTTTCTCCTTTACTTTTTTTTTTTATTTTTTCTTTTTTTTTTTTTCTCCAGAGTCTCGCAAACTGCCGACGTCCCCAACGCCCCCTCACTCTTATCCGCAGCTGCGGGGCGCTACGTCATTACTTGCTTTCGAGGCGTATCGTCGGATGTCTGGGCTCGCCGCCTGTGGGCGCTCCTCGCCGCGCGCGTGCGCTGAGCCGCCGCCTCTCTCGAGGGAGGAAAAGTGGCATACACAGAATATGCCGTAACTCCGCGCGGATGTCTTGGGTCGGCGCTGAGCCCCATGTGGCGGGGCCTCCAGCGCCACCCTTGGCGCGGTCCGCACGCCAGGGAGGGAGGCTCCAGCGCTGGCCCGAGAAGTGCGCGCGGACTTCCGAGCAATCATATCTGTGCCGTTTCTTGCCCCTCTATCAGGATCGCCGCGGGGGGTGCTACAGGGATAGGTTGGTTAAAGTCGGAGGCCGAGGTGATTAAATCTGGCCAAAACTGGCTTATAAGTGGGCTTCAGATACCCAAAGTGGCTTGGATGGGGTTAGGTAACTAACTCCGCTTAGTGGGCGGAGTCCACTTAGTCCTGATCGTAAGCCCTATCCCTTACTCCCTTGGCAATATCTTTCCGCAATCCCCTATCGTACAAAAAACATAGCATAATAACCCCTATCGTAGACCCCCATCCCGGATTGTAAATGATCGTAAGCCTTTCATCCCGGATCGTTCACCCCCATACCCTATCATCTGAAGCTTTACCCCCCATCCCCTAATGAACCGTGAACGGGACTCAGCCTCTGCCGGTCGTCCAGTGTTGCCATCAGAGCAACCAAAGTGCCATCATAGGTTTTACCAGTGAGGACCGCCATGAGGTCTCACACCCTCCGCAGCTTCCATCATAGGGGCTGCGAGGGCAAGTCCCCACGAACTTGGCCCCGACGACGGACGTCGAGGACGACGACTTCGGCGACCACGACGACCACGACTGAAACTACGAGTACGAGTTGGCGCAGCACCGCGAGTCCTCTCCTCTTCCCCGGCGAGGACCAGCATAGGCCTTACAAGTGAGGACCACCATGAGGCCTAACACCATCCGCAACTTTCATCCTCGGGGCTGCGGGGGCAAATCCCCGCGAACCTGGCACCGACGACGGACCTCGAGGACGACGATTTCGGCTACAACGACGACGACGACGACGACCACGACCACCACCACGACTGGGACTGCGGGTACGGGTGGACGCTGCAGCACGAGTACGGGGGGGTTGTAGTGGGCCCCGGAAACTGCAGGGCCGTTTCTTCACCGTTTCCGAAAAGTGTCTCTTGAAACTGGAAACGGCAAAAGCACGGCGACCGGGAACGGCAAAAATACGGCTTCAGGAGTGGAACTGGAGCCGGAACTTACAAAACAAATGCGACGGAACCGGCAACAGAAATGCATCGGAACCGGCCCCAAAACGGCAAAACGGAACCGGCGACAAAAACGGCCTTGTCGCTTCCAGGGCCCATTAAGGGGGGGGGGATTTCGTGTCGCCTTTTGAAGGCCTTCTCTTAGGGGGCAGCAGCGAGAAATTCTACAGGGGCGTGGCGCCGCGAGGTGGCGGCGACTGCGGCGTGATTCCCCGCCTGTGGAACCCCCGTTCTTGTTGATAG